GTGATCATACTACATACTGAATACATAAGTTGGGTAAACCGTTAGGTGGTATCTGTGAGATGTCCTTCGGCAGCTAATTGTACCCGTTCCAGATCCTCAGGCGATCGTATGCAGACCACACCGCCGCCATGCACGAGCCGCCCGCGTTCATGGCCTGCGTATGCATGGAGGTTTAGCTGTACAGAGGCATGATCGAATTGTTGACGAGAAGGAGGCAGATATTTACTCACGAGTAGACGGCAGCCTATCACGGAGTCGATAGCTTGCCCCGCCCTGCTTAAAAAAATAAATTTCCTGCGGACCGTCAACGACAGAGAGGAGAGTTACCCGGGGAACACATGTGAAAAGGAGTGCTGCATTCTCAAATGTCAGCGAATGATATTTTCCAAAAGCATCCTGCGGGCCTACCGTGTTCACACGCCACAGCGCTAGGTTTATAACGGCAAAAGTAAAGCTACCAGCGCACGCGAAAGCGGAGTCGCGCAGTATTAGCCACTCCAGAGGGGAAAGATTGTCTCGCGGGCGCAGAATCGCAGCGATGGTTCTCCCCAAGACGAGAGCAAAGAGCAGACTCTCGAATAAAATCTTTGGGAGCCAAAATGACCACAACCAGTGAGTCAGGACGTTGACGTCGAAGCAACGGCTGTTCTCGCCTGCAGGCACTGCGAAAAATCGAAGAGGTAAGCTTACATAGCAATGACTCGGTATGAAGGGTATGACCAGTTTTCACCGTGATTACTGCAAAAAGTACCGTGAAGAATACCATCATACCAATCAGTAGCAGGAACAGTGTGAAGCGAAGTTTCCTGTTGCAGCGATATAGTGCGTTGATACGGAGGATAAGCACGGCTATTCACTAGTGTGAATACCGCTCAGACATGGCAACATATGGCTCTCACTAGCAGACAGCCCGTAGAGCACCATGATGGTGTAAGGGATGGAGTCCGAACAGGCTGTACACCTGCTCAGAACTAACAGTAAGCAGCGAGACGGCAATATCGAGAACACCGATCCTACATCTATTGATATTCCAGTGTAAGACCTCCGAGTCACTGTTTAACTAGTTCAGGGCGTACCTCATCCGTTATGGCAATGCCCTCCCACACTAGTTTGAGTTAGACTCTGCGAGCCAGATAAGGGCCGGTTTGACATACAACAAACAGTTGCTATGCTAAGAGTTGGACGGTTAGTAATGCTCCGGAGGTCAGTTTTGAGAAAGGGTCGGTCATACATTAGGATTACTAGCCTGCAAAGACCTATTGAGCTGGTTCACTTGCGGAGCGATCGAAATAACTCACGACCCATAACGACACTGATTTTCAACGCTTCATGGGTAACAAAAATACTAATAGACTCGGAATGTAGCTGTGCTGCTTACAGAGGCGTACAAGAATCGGGTTGACCAATTGCCGTGTAGCCAAACAAAGTTCATCTGACACGTGTCAGGATACACAGTAGGCGGCACCATGGTCTGACTTGCCTCGTCAGCGAAGGTTAAGACTAAAATAGCAGTGTAAGCAGCTGCTTGGAGTGCAGCAAAAGACTACTCACTCCAGTCGTATATAGAGAATGCAACTGCTGCTGCTGCAAGACACGAAGCCAGCACGAGTCAGCAAGCCCGGGCCTTTCCGATACGAGTTTTCCGCAACTTACTCCAACCGCTCGTGATAACACGAGAATCGTAAGCAACTGTCCAGTTACTGAAGTCGGACATTTTCACAGCGAGGAGGATCGTGCATTCCGCAGCCTCCCGTCAGCGCAGATGCATCGATGTTATACAGCAATAGCAGCTCTGCCGCGGCGCGGGAGACTTCCGCCGCCGGTAGTCCTAGATAACTAAGCCGCTGCACTTTGCCTGCAAAGTCATCGGCCGGCGGTGTTGACCTGGAGCGGATGGCCCGGTAACGAGAAACGTCTCGTATTGCCAGCGCTCGCTCACGCGGAGCGAGCGTTTACTACTTAGCCCGATTGCCAAGTTGTGCCCATACTGCGCCTATATCCAGTCGCTAATATCAGCCCTGCAGTGTGAGCGCGAAGCTCTCGAGTACCCACATGCTGTACCAGAGCGCAGCTGCGAAGTCTCACTGTGGTAGGTGACAACGTACGGGGCAGCGTTTGAGCGCTTTTGAGCGCTTGTTCACTCTGATTCCGCGTGACGCTTGCACTAGCCGGCGTTAGGGCATAGCTACAGACCGTTGCCACACGATTGATTGCCCATTCCGCGAACATGTCTCCTGCTACGTGGGCC